AAATCCCAAGCTTTTGATAGCCAAATCCACCTTGCTAAAAAATCTCTCAATTCTCTCCATCTACCAAATTCACTCAAAGCTCCATTTTTAAAAAAAAGTAAGGTTTTCATTGAAGCTTACAAATCTTTGAGCTAAACCTTCATCCAGATACTTTTTATTTGTCAATTCTCTACATCCAAGCTTGGGCAATTGATTCTTGGGGTTGAATTGAAGCAAATTCTTGAAGTTGTTTTGATAATTCTCTAAATCTACCTTTGGTAAGTTGGATTTTTCATCTTTCACAATGTGATCTCTTGTTGATCTTTAGGTTTGATTCATTGAGCATTGCTTTGTGATTCCGTTGGTGCTATTTTCTCATAATTTGATGGAATTTTCATGCTCAATTGAATCCATGATCATAAGGTATTTGATGGAAAGTTTGAACAAGAATTTGGCCTTTTGAAATGCTGATTTTCTGATTTTAACAGAGTGCAATCGATTGTTGTAACAGCGCAATCGATTATCACAGAAGCATTTTACGTATTTTTTTGAAAAGAAACACTGATGCAATCGATTGCTGCCAGAGTGCAATCCATTGCAACAGAACAAAAATGCTTTTTCTGCCTTGCTTTGGGGCTATTTTGATCCATCTCTCTTTTTCTACTCACTCCTTTTGATTGTTGATTTGGATTGCAATTTTAAATGTCCAATTTCTCTTTAAATTCAATGAACTTTGGGTGTAGATGAAGTAGAATAAATGTTCATTAATTCAAATCTACCAAAGAGTGAATTATTTAATTTATTTTTGGTGCTTTGGAATAATGATATGTTTAGTACTTTAATCCACCAAGATGAGTGATTGAATTTAAAGATAAAAGAAATTTGAGGTAGTGATCCAAATTAGCTTATCATTCCCCTCCCTCTTCATCTTATCCCTTTATTTTTTATTTTGTGCTACATGTTAAGGGATGATGATCTCTATATCATTTATCCAAACATGAAGTACATAGATTGCTATTGATCGACCTCAAAATAGGTGCGACTTCTACATAAGTCTACTTACGATTGCTTAACATAGCCCTAAATTTTGTTCCGATTTGAGAAAGTGATCATTCGTGGCTCAAACCTATGTTTTCAAGCCCAGGTATGTTAATTTGAACCCTTTGATCCAATAACCTTGAGATTCATTGTTAGGAGGCTTTGGTTCTACCAATCCTCCAATGGATCTTCATCAATTTTGGTCAACACGGATCACTTAAACATTATTGATCATTAAATGTTGCCTTGAGGATTCTTAAATGGATGATATACTTGACAAAAAGTAAATGAAACTTGTTGTTGAGAGGCTTTGGTTCTATCAATACTCTAATGAGTTCCAAATGCAAGTTTCAAGATGGCCATACAACTAACCATTAACTTCAAAAAATTGACTTTATTTTATGCTTTTATCTTATGCCATTTACTTTATGTACCATTTACTTTAGCATCTACATTTCATGCTATTTTCATCTTTGCTCACTTGAGCATTTACTTTTATGCCATTTTTATTTTGCTCACTTGAGCTTTTCTTTTCCTTTTGAAGATACTTAATAATCAACATGAACCATAATAAACATTAATAATACTTGGACTATTTAGTTACTATCCTTGGCATTATGGAGTATTGGACTTCTTGGACTTAGGATTAGAGACCTTAACCTATGTTGGAGACCTTGTGACCTTAATTGATATTTTGTCTAGATCTATTGAGGTTTACCTTAAGACATTGGGTTGTTTGTTTATTTTGTGTGAAGGTTATTGTGATTACACACTTTGTCTATAATCTGGAATTCATCTGTATACAACCGTTACGCTGTCCAATTTTTGTGAAGACTTAATACATTTGAAGTTTGGTCTTTTCAAGAGGTTTAGTGTCCTTGTTTGGTTTCAATCTAAAGAATGAGAATTCTATCTTGACTCATAATGTCAAGTGTTGGCTTCTTGTTGGTTAGACAGTTCTCTTCCTTAGCTTTTACCTTATGCTTTAGGATAGTCCCTTCATCTCCTCCCCTTCTTTAATTTTCAAAATCTTCTCATTTTTTTCGAAAGCTTCTTTGTTTATAGACACAAACCTCTTTCATAATAAACCTAGACATTTGTCGAGTGCCTTTTCTTTTAAAAACTTCTTTTATTTAAACAAACTTCAACTCATTTAATCATACTTCGACATCTTTCAAAATTAATAAAAACACTTCAACTCATTCAAACTCTTTTTACGCTCGAGCACCTTTATCCTTCAAACATTTTTTCAAGATGAGACATGATTCATTGATAGTCGAGCAACATTCTCCTATCCTCATGGTTATAAAGGTGTCGACTTTTCCACTTGAGTGCTAGAGGTGTTCTCAAACCCTCACTCTTGCTGACGCAGGGTCCATCTTTCCCACACCTTGTGGACGTTAGTCGAGATTTCTCTCCTAACAATGACAACTTGTCTCCTTGTTTAAAATTAATCAACAGACAAGTCTTTTCTAGTTGAACTGCAGTGCTCTGAATTTCCCGTTGCACGAGGGAGTACGTAGGCACTAAGTCGTACAACCCAAGGCGAGTAACAAAAAATAATAAAAAAACATTTTCTTTTGTTTACAAATACTCATTCATTATTTTCCTTTAGCAAGTAAACCTTTACATGACACTCCTTTTAAAAGAAACCAAACAAAGTGGATCATGTGGAGTACCATAGATGTTTAGGATGATAACATATTCCCTTTGCATAACCGAACCCCGTACCTCGATCTCTGACCTTTTATTTCATTGTGGGTTTTGTTCGCTTTTTCCCATTTCCCTTTGGAAACAATAAAGTGCGGTGGCAACTTCATTGTGTTGACATAAGTCAATTGATGGCTTAAATCTCAAATATTTACCGCTACATTTCGTTTCCTATCATTAATGTCGCATTTTTCGTTTCATCTCTTCATCGTCTTCGACGATGGTGGCGATTGCTGCGCGACACCATGAAGAAAAGGCCAAAATCATTATGCTATATAAGGAGGCCAAAATTATTGGAGTTCAAGCATTCATATTGAAGATTTTAGAGTGCTAGGTTTACAAGGAGTCCTTGTTGTTTTATGTACACCAATATGTTTCAATAACTTGGCATAATAGGTTTGTCTAGTTGAGTTGTAAGATTCAACATCAGTCATAGTTGTGATTGAGGTTGATCACTAGGATTTAGTGATTAAAAGTCCAAACACTTGTGTTAGTATTTGAGATAAATGAGAGAGGATCTCATATTTAAGGGAAAACCTAAATAGAAAGCCATTGGATAGTGTTAGGAAAAGGTATAAGACATCATATGGTTTATTGTTTCTTGCAAGAATAATGTGGTAAGCTACTAATAGTGAATTTACTTTCTTGGATTCGAAACCAACCCTTAAGATGTAGGTGCAGGTTGCATTAAACTAAGTTATTAATTCTTTGTGTTATTTAGTCCTTTTCTACTCTCAACTTGTTGGACCAATTGTTCCAACATCGTGTATGACATCTGTCCCTTGAGGAACAAAATTTTAATATTTACTTCACTGCTAGAATCATTAGTTTGAACCATATTTGCAGAATTATATGAGCAAATCTTTTTATTAGGACAATCCCTCTTCCAATGCCCAATATGTTTGCAACTATAACACTCTTTAGTTTTTCGATTACTAGATTTAGACCTCTTTGTTCCAAAACCTCTATGACTCATGTTCCACCAACGATATTAACCCCTTTTCACATACATTCTATCACCTTGAGTTCCTTCATCTACACATTGTCTCATTTGAGAATGAGACAAAAGTGTACCAGTAATCAATTCAAGGCTGATAATGTATTTCCTGTAGGTAAGAGTAGTCACCAAGTGGTCATAAGAACCTAGTAACAAGTAGATCAATATAATTTCTTTATCTTCATCATCAATCTTCACTCAAAGCCCCACTAGAGCATTGATTATGTTATTGAAAATATTGACATGTTGCTGCAAACCAGATCCTTATTACATCATCAAACTATATAGTTGCTGCTTCGCGAGCAATTTGTTAATTAGGGTCTTTCATATATATTGAATCTCCAATTTATCCCAATCCTCCTTCTAAGTCGTCAGGTCCATGATATGATACATCACCTTTTCTGAAACTTATAAACAAATCAATCTTGTAGTATTTCATTCATCTATGCCCAATTAGTATCTCCCATGTTGTTTGGTTTCATCTTACCAACCACTACAAGAAAATTTGCAAGTTGTGACGGTTTTTCAGATGATTACGGCGGTTCTAACCGTCGTAAAATACAGGTTACGAAGATTCCACAACTGTCGCAGAAACGTGTGTCACGGGCCCTTTTGGCGACGGTTTAGAAAACTGTTGTTCCAACTGTCGTAGATAAGCATGACAGTTCTAAACCTCCTTTAAAGTAAGCTAGCATGACAGTTCTAAACCTCCTTTAAAGTAAGCTAGCGACATTTTTTCACCGTCGCGAATTTTATTTGATGTTTCATTTACACTATTGATAGCGGCGGTTTGAAATTTACTTTGGAGGTTTATAACCCCCGCTAAAATAATTAATTTTTTAAAAAAAATTAAACATCTAATGTAGCATTGCTATGAACAGATCAGAATATATATATTATCAATATAAAGCAACATAGATAGATATTAAACATATCGCACTATATAACCACATCACAAAACAACTCATACTCAAACAAATCTCTTTCTATATTCATACAATTTAATTTACAATATATAACCACATCATAAAACAACTCAAATTGAACCAAGTACTCAACATATGCAGAACTTTGATCATACAGGAACACAATAACAATGTCACAAAAACTAATGGAATGGAGTTACAATGAGCTTCTAATATAGCAGAATCTAAAACTTATTCATATCAATAAATTGCTGCATACTTCTCATAATCATTTAAGGGACCTAGAGGAAGAAATCCCTCAACTCCATCACGGCCAAGTCATACTTTTGATGCAAAGAATGGGAGTTCAGTCACCTATAACAAAAGACTTTGTTAGTCCTTTTGAAAAATACTTATTCGAGCTTCAACTTTGAGTAGAAAACCCAACAACACACAATACTACATTCTATTAAAATTATGATAGGGAAAAGCATCTCAGATTATCTTAATTTAAAGCAAATTTTTAATTCCTACCTGTGAATCAACATATGCACATGAATGATTCCGACCTCTCCTTTCAATGTCGGAAGACATGCATCTGCAAATTTAACAATAGTGTATGCCTGCAATTTACAATAAAGATAGTTCATATAACTTGTAATCAAGACCAGACCCATATTTCCAAACCTGCTATACTATACTCACATGGAAAAAAATCAGGCAGATCATAGTCATATCTAATTATCAGTATAATAGAAACAGTGGTGGTCAGAGAATGCTATGTTCTTCGATAATCAGTATAATTCAAACTCAAGTAGATAAAATTTAAATAAAGACCACTTCACTTTAACATCTGAATAGAAACAATGGTGGTCAGGGAATACTATGTTTTCAAAGGCAATGTTTGCATGGTATATACTGCTTTAAATTGATAATGACATCCTAACACTTTTCATAAAAAATAGAACTTCACATCTTTTCTGTATCAGAAGTCTCAATTTTGGCATTCATAATAACTTAAGTTACCAATAATAATTTAAAATCAAATGATTGATTTTGAACTAAAATTTCAGCAGTAAACTTGAATGTTAGGTATCAACTGCCAAATTTTCAAAGAAAGTACAAAGTAATCAATATAGCTGGTTTAGAAACTAGAAGTTAAAAAAGACACGTGAAACTAGCAGCATCTTCTGAAAACAAAACTATAATTCTCAACATGAAAAAAAAAAGCATCCACAAAAAAAGTATATCTTAAACATATAATGGGTGTACATAAGTTTTCTTGAAAAACATGAATGTAGAAGGCCTTATACCATGCAAGTAAGAAGTACTTAAATATTGAATAATGAGAACCGTCACCTTAAATGATGAGAAAAGTAGTATTACCGCCAATAGAAGGTTGATTGCCTGAAACCTCTAAACATTGGAGTATTAATGAAAACATGACTATCAATAAAAAGTATAGATATTTTATTGAAAAAGAAAAAAAATGAAAAACATTATGAGAAATGTATCCATCTTGAAAACACGCCTGAATGGTGGCTGTTCCAAGAAGTATTATTGTCAAGCGAAAAACAACCACACCAGCAATACCATAGGAAAGTACACCATTTTGTAACTTCAATAAGAAGTGGAAGCAAACTATTCAATTATTTACATTCGATCTAGTCCAATATGAAGTACCAATAATAACTTATTAAAATAACATAAAAGTTTAAACTGCTCAAAGTTTACCATTGACAATAAGGTTTATGCATTACCTGATACAATGTTGGAACTTTGAAGTATTTGAATATTATAAAAAAACCAAAGAGATTATCCACTGAGAGACTTTGCTCCAATACGCATCTATAAAAGTGAAGATATGAACATCCAAGTTAATTAAAGTTAGTAAACAAATTAATTATGGCTTGAGTTTTGTTTTCAGTCTTGCATCCACTAAAATTAAAATCATATTTAATTAATTAATTAATTAATTAATTAGTGATAAGAAAACACTAAGAATTGAAAACGGAAGCCAAACCCATCTTGAGTTGAGAAAGAAGAATTAAAAACAAATAAAAGATCCCATTCGTTCGCATTCATAACCCAATAGATTATGAAAACTTAAGTGATCATGGAATAAAGGAATTAGGAACTTAACATAATATCCAGAACATGACAATATCGTTAGAGTAATTTATGTAAAAAAAAATCAAATCTCTCATGTTAATATTGAACATAAAAGTTCTCATTTGATCAATATCAACCACAACACAGTGAAATGTATGCATAAAGACATAGAAACCTACACTTAGGTTCTGACACGACAAATCAGTGCAAGAGTGTCAAGGAGAATTAGCCGTGAAGTGGTTTGCAAGGGTTCGAAGGTGGTGTGCAGAGAATGGGAAAGTATTGTAATCAAATGTATCACATAGATTACCCACAGTAGAGAATTATTTATCGCAACATAGGCTACCAAGTCTAACTTATGCGCATAATTGGAAATGACTTACCTCTTACACACTGATAGAAAACCTCATAGTAGAAACTTGGTATTGGTTATGCTTTAATGACCAAGTTCTTTCTCAACTTATTAATGGATGCATCTTCCTCTTCCTATACAAATTATAGTGACAAACAATTTAGTTATTTAATATCTTAACATTTAAAAGTTAACCTAAGAGGATAAATCGAAATTAATCAAGTTGATCTATGTAACTCCACAACAAAGCCTTCTAGCTGGATCAGAATTTATGAATAGTAGTAATTGAATGACACTGGATGCATGTTTTCAGCTTCTGTCCAAAGGTCTTGGAACTAGATAAATGACATGTATCATTCTGCAAAACTTAGATGGACAATTCGAAATTCAAGTCACCAGAAATTTGTACAACATTAGCAACAAAAAGAGAGAATTTTTATGCCTAAAATCACAATGCTAAGCATATTTTTATCATATATCGTATAGGTTTTGATGAAAAGAGAAAAGTTTCACTGTACGCATTATGAGATTGATGAATGATACTTAACCTTACACAATTTGCTTTATACTGTTTTAAGGAAAATTGTCCTTACCATGATCAGTTCTACTTTGTTCTTAGAAAGACTGGCTAATCTAAGTGTTGCAAATGTATTAGCTCCTAACCATACATGAACACATAGAAAAATTATAAAGAAGGAAAGTTAAAATAGAAAACTTCTATTTGCAATTTGCAAACCTTTTGGTGCCAATTATTTAAGAATTCATGCTTTAAGTTTTCACATGAATTTCTTGTTTCAAAAAGAGTACAAACTTTATATTTCAAGATTAACATGAGTTCTTTCAAGCAAAATGTCCTACATGTTAACTCCATCTACTTAATTGAGCTTCATCTTATGGCTGCTTCTTCAGTTGAGCTCTTTTCTACTCCTTAGCTTTCATAAGCATTCATATTTTCTCACATGCTCATCAATTTCAGGGGGAATCGGGCTCAAACATGTGTTGTAAATATATAATTTCGACCAAATGTTATTGCAGTGAAATTTAGAATTCTAAAAATGTAAAAGAATACTCATGTCATATGCTCAATAAGCTAGGATGTAGAGGCTACTTACAAAAACACATTCAAATAAATGATCAAAGAAATCAAATGATTGATAGCATAAGCAAGTTTACCTCATCATGTTAGCCAAATAAAACAGACGCGTTGGATTTTGGGTTAGTAGACAACCCTTCTTCCTTCTTGGCACTGAAAAATCGGATGAAGAAATTCGATGTCGTCACAGAGACGGTGGGCAGAGAAGAACCATCGATTTGATGAGAGAAAGGTTTGATGTGAATCAAGTTCAAGAGAAATTGGATGAATTAATTCACGGGAGATTAGAGAGATAATTTAGGGTTTTAAAGATTTGATGAATCTAAGTGTTAGAAACTATAAATCTCCATTAGAGGAGAAAGAAGAAAGAAAGAAAAACAAGTAGAGATGAAGCAAATCTGAATTATTCAGCTTAAAAATGAAAAGGAGACAACCAGTTCTATATATACACCACAAATATAATGCAACTAACTCATCTTAACTGAATAACAGAAAAACTAGGGCAAATGTATAATTTCGCAGCCTCCCTCAAGCTTAAGCATGATATATATTTATCATGCCAAGCTTGGATATGAATGACTGAAACTTGGATGGTTGTAAGGGCTTTGTAAGGAAATCTGCCAGCTGCTCCTTCGAGGCAATGGGAAGGAGTCTCATCATGCCTTGCTGAATCTTCTCTCTCACCAAGTGACAATCAATCTCTATGTGTTTTGTTCTCTCATGGAAAACAGGATTGGATGCAATATGAATTGCGCTTTGATTGTCACAATACAACACAGGTGGCTTGACACATGTTACTTGCAAATCTCTTAGAACATACATCAACCAAACCAGCTCACATGTTGCAGTCCCAAGTGCTCTATACTCTACTTCTGAGGAACTTCTGGAAATTGTTTGTTGCTTCTTAGCTTTCCAAGATACAAGAGAGGAACCTAAAAAGAAACAATAACCAGTGGTTGATCTTCTAGTGTCTATGCAACCAGCCCAATCTGCATCTGTGTAGCCTAACACTTGTAAGTTAGATGATCTTGGGAAGAACAAACCATGGCCAGGGCTCATTTTCAAGTATCTTACAATTCTGCAGGCAGCTTGATGATGAATCTGAGTGGGTTTATGAAGGAACTGACTTAACTGTTGTGTAGCCAAAGTAATATCAGGTCTGATATTGTTTAGATATATTAGTTTACCTATCAGGCGTCTGTATGCAGTGATGTCTTCAAGAGGTTCACTGTCATCATGGTGCAGTTTTAATGATGGGTCAAGAGGAGTGGTGGCAGGTTTTGATGCTAAGAGACCTGAATCTTTGAGTAAATCCAAACAATACTTCCTCTGAGATATAGTGATTCCCTCCTTGGACTGAGCAACTTCTAAACCAAGGAAATATTTCAAAGTTCCTAGGTCTTTGATTTTGAATTTACCATCAAGAATGTTCTTGATTCGATCAAACTCTATGAGAGATGTGTCTGCCAGTATAATATCATCCACATAGACCAGCAAAACTGTGAAATCATTTTTGTGTGTAAAGGTGAACATGGAATAATCTGCAGTGGATTGAGTGTACCCAAGTTGCAATAACAAAGAAGTAAGTTTCTCATACCACTGCCGACTTGCCTGCCTCAAACCATACAAGCTCTTCTGCAATTTGCAAACTTGGTTAGGTTTGGAACATGTAATTCCTTGTGGGACAGTCATATACACATCCTCATTTAGATCACCATGTAAGAAAGCATTGTTCACATCAAGCTGATGTAAATGCCAATGATTAATAGAAGCAATGGCCAAGAGTACTCTCACTGTGGATAGCTTTGCAACAGGTGAAAAAGTGTCAAAGAAATCTAACCCTTCCACTTGATTATAGCCTTTAGCAACCAATCTTGCTTTATATCTTTCAACAGATCCATCTGCTCTATGTTTTACTTTGTAAACCCATCTGCTTCCTATAGGTTTAACATGAGGTGGAAGTTCTACCATGACCCAAGTGCCATTGTGTGCAAGAGCATCTAACTCAGTTTGCATAGCTAGTTTCCAATTTTCATTCTTACAAGCCTCCTCATAATTTTTAGGCTCAGTATCATGAGTAATAGAAAGACTAAAAGACTTGTGATTTGAAGACAGATAATCAAAAGAATGAAAAGAAGAAATAGGATAAGATATACCTGAAGTGAATGATGCAGCCAAAGTATTTGATGAATTGCACACATAATCCTTGAGGTGAGAAGGTGTGTGTTTGACTCTATTGGGTCTGGTAGATGGTGGTGAGACACTAACATTATTATGAATGTCAAGAGTGGTTAGTGTATCAGCTAGTGTATCAACTGATGTATCAACAAATGTATCATCTGATGAAGGCTCATCTGATTGTGAGAGAGTTACATCAGGAATGTTTGTGATACAATCATCATGTGATGAAATGGTGTTCTCAAAAGATGAAATATCAGTGGATGGCTCAAGACTGACATTTTCATGAGTATGATACTGCCAATTTGGTTTAAGTGGAAAGATGTGATCATGATGTGTCACATGTCTAGATATAAAAGTTTCACGTGTGTTAATGTCAAGCAGCATAACACCTTTTACATTTTGCTTGTAACCCAAGAAAACACACTTCCTAGCCCTATGATCTAGTTTAGTACGATGTGCCTGCAGGGTAGATGCATATGCTAGGGTGCCAAAAGTTTTCAGATTTTCCAAATCAGGATCCCTATCAAACATACACTGATAAGGTGATTTGTGTTTTAAAATTCTAGTTGGTACACGATTCATAATGAAAACAGCATGATTAACAGCAAATGACCAAAATTTCTTGGGCAAATTAGCTTGGAATAGAAGGGCACGAGCTATGTTAAGAATGTCTTGGTGTTTTCTTTCAACCCTCCCATTTTGTTGAGGAGTTTCAACACAACTTGTTTGGTGGATAATGCCCTTAGAATTATAGAATGTGGACATAGCAAATTCTGGTCCATTGTCACTTCTAATGCATTTGACATTTAAATGATATTGAGTTTCAATCATCTTAACAAAGTTTATGACATGTTGCCTGGTCTCTGCCTTAGATTTCATCAAAATGACCCAGGTAAACCTGCTAAAATCATCTACAGCAGTCAAAAAGTATGAATGACCATTGTGTGACTTAGTGGACAAGGGACCCCAAACATCAAAGTGCACTAAATCAAATAAATGAGAAGCATGATTGAAACTGTTATTAAAAGGTAATTTCTTGTGTTTAGCATAGTGACAAACATCACAAATGCTATTTTTGTCTACATCAATAAAAGGAAAAGAAGCATGCAGTTTTTCTAATCTAGTCGAGGACAAGTGTCCAAGTCTAAAATGCCATAAGGCACTACTAGGAATGGTGACAGATACATTGTTTAGACTAGAAGAGATAGCAAGTTTGGATGATAGAATTAGATGATACAATCCATCAATCTTTTCAGCTGAACCAATCATCTTCAGAGAGGAAATTTCCTGGATAAAATAATCAGAAGCACGAAAAATGACATTGTATTGATTAGTTTGACAAAGTTTGGGCACAGAAATAAGATTGACTGAAAATTCAGGGATATATAGAACATCAGGAATATGAAAAAAATCAGAGAATTTAACAACACCAATGAATTTGGCCAAGGCAAATTGACCATTTGGTAACTTAACATGTATAGGTTTTATAGAATTGACACTATGGAACCAAGCTCGATTAGAGCAGATATGATCACTGGCACCTGAGTCTATTATCCAAGAATGAACTGCAGCACACTTATAAACAGAAATTTGCTGATTACTTGGAATGTTGACAGATGTGTTACCTGTAACTGTAGACGAGTAAACTTGATTAGAGGTAGCAGTAGATGAACCTTGTTGAATGTTAGATTGTTGAAGGAGGTTCACAAGTGTGGCATATTGTTCTTGAGTTATGGGGAGCTGCCCATCTTGATTACGTGAAGCTGAAGCACGATCACCATTGTCATCTGGTTCTTCAGTTGTACTAGCATTATTTGTAGAGGAACCTTTGCCAAAATGAGGTGGAAACCCATGTTTCCTATAGCAAACTTCAACTGTGTGGCCAGTCCTACCACAATGTGTGCAAATCTTGGACTTTGAAGTATTAGATGCTGTATTTGAAGTACCACCTTTAGCACTGAACTTCTTGTATCCTACAGCATTGATCAAAGCTTGAGAATCCTCTGAAATAGCAAAATTGCCTTGGCGTTCATGTTGAAGCACCATAGAGAAGATCTTGTTCATGGAAGGGAGAGGATCCATGAGTAAAATTTGTGACTTAACAACTGCAAAATTCTCATTTAAGCCGGTAAGAAATCTTATAATATACAGCAAATTGTGATGATTTCGAGCATCTCTCATGGCAGCACAAGAGCATCGAACACGACATGTGCACTGTGGTAAAGGCATGTATATTTCCAATTCTTCCCAGAGAATTTTCAGCTCAGAATAAAATTCTGTTACAGATTTATTTTCTTGCTTTAAAGAGTAAATTTCTTAATAGAGTTCAGAAATACGAACCAAATCACCTTGTGAAAAGCGTTCTTTCAAATCGTTCCAAACATCCAACGCATTCTCCATGTAAACGATTGACTGAGCTATCGATTCGGAAACTGAGTTGATAATCCATGAAATTATCAACATGTTGCAGCGGTTCCATGCGCGGGTTGAAGGATCGAATGAATCTTCAGGAATGGGAATTGAACCATCGATGAATTCAAGTTTCATCTTGGCGCCAAGAGCACGACGCATCGAGCGTGCCCAAGAATGATAGTTACCTCCGGTGAGAGGTGGCACAACCTTGACAGTTGCTGGGCCATCACTGGGGTGAACAAAATACGGACTTGTAGGATCGAGTTGAGGGTCAATGGGAGTGTTGTTGCGTGGTGGTGCCATTGACAAGAAAGAAGGAAAGAGAAAGAGTGATAAAGTGATGATCACGCAAGAAAGATTGTAAGAATCACGTAAGGAAAAAGAAGGTTGGATCGGAATGGCGTTGATACCATGTTAGAAACTATAAATCTCCATTAGAGGAGAAAGAAGAAAGAAAGAAAAACAAGTAGAGATGAAGCAAATCTGTATTATTCTGCTTAAAAATGAAAAGGATACAACCAGTTCTATATATACACCACAAGTATAATGCAACTAACTCATCTTAACTGAATAACAGAAAAACTAGGGCAAATGTATAAGTTCAAGAGATATTGGATGAATTAATTCACGGGAGATTAGAGAGATAATTTAGGGTTTTAAAGATTTGATGAATCTAAGGGTTCTGATTCGTATTTACATTTTTAGGAGAGAGGTAAAACACAACAAAAATGCACAAGATAAACATAGGGTTTTTCAGATTTTGGGGGTAAAATTAAAAAGAAGCGCTATAGTTAAAAATGAACAAAGGGTTCTTTTAGATCTGATGAAATTGAGTGAGAGTGGCTGAGATAACCTTCGTGAAGATGAAGCGGAGGCATATCTACAATTGTCGCGAAGATGAAGCGGAGGCAGATCTACAACTGTCGCAGCCATGTGATGGTCCGTTCCACCATGTAGACCATATATTGAGTGACTGTATTATATTTAAAACATTGTGGATGTTAAGGAAAACTGTCGCAAGACCCACCGTTAACTTTAATTAAGGGCAGTTTTTGAGTACTCGTCGTAAATCACGTGTCGCAAAATTGAATTTTTCTTGTAGTGAACACCTTTTGTAAATTTTGTTGAGCCAATAGATCCTTAACTCCCCTTTGCTATAATTTGAAATTACCCATATCGTCGAACCTTGTTACTTCGAATTTTACACCATGGTTAATAGCTACCTAATAGGACTTTTTAGAACAACAATTAATATAGAAGATTAAAGATAAATAAAATTAAAAGACAATGGACACGGTCGATCTTTGTTAGCGCACTTCGCCCAATGATGCCTAACTCTCCGACTATAAAGTAGCCATATAATTCACTTTATTTATGTCTTATGAATTGATTGGATTACAATATTACAAGAAATATATAATACTAAGTTTCAATTTATCTAAAACTCCAAGTTTCCCTAAACAAACAAGTATCTCTATCCATAATTATCTTTATAATATGAGCTATATTCTCAATAATCCACAATTATCTCAACCATACGAGCGATACTCAACAAACAAAAACAAATTCACGACTATTTTCAGCCAAACAATCTGGAATCAATCATAAATGATTAAAGTAGATTTTAAGACAATGAAGGTAGTGAATCCAAAATTAAGACAACAACCAACCACCACCAAACCAAGTTTCCACCACCAAACATTGTTTTTTTATTGAAAAGTATGAAAGTACAATTTCATTCATAAGTTTATTCGTTGATGTTGCATAATGATGCTTAAGATGTTAGTGCAATATAAATAGATAGACTAACTAATATTGTACGATTAATTTTCAATCATTATTAGAAAATTTGCTTTTAGCGGCCGATATATTTCGGTCACTTTAGAAACCGAATCAAAGATCAATATTGTGAGCTTCGAAGTCAAAATGTTTTTTGTAGTTTTATCGGTCGCTAAGAAAAATTAAAGACCAAGTTGGAGACTAATAATTAGCGACCATAAAATCGGTCACAAACATTTTTTTATTAATTACTAAAAAATCTAGGATTAATATTTTTTTTGGTCTCGTATCTTAATTTCAGAGTTCATTTTGGTCCCTTAACTTAAAAAATATCTATATTGATCCCTTAAATCTTCAAAATATACCATGTTAGTCCTTTTTGTCTAATTAACGACGGGAAATTTTAAAAATTTGTCACTAATTAGACAAAAAGAACTAACATAGTACATTTTGAAGAGTTAAGAGATCAATATAAACCTTTTTTAAGTTAAGGGAGCAAAATGAACCCCGAAATTAAAATATGAAACCAAAAAACCTATTAAGCTAAAAATCTTTCTATACTAATATAAAACTCTATAACTTCTCCTACTAATTTTCCCTCCAAAATCTCCAAAATTTAATAAATAATAATAATAACAACAACAACAACAACAACAACAACAACAACAATAATAATAATAATAATAATAATAATAATAATAATAATAATAATAATAGTAATAATAATAGAAATGTTTTTCTTTACAAATGACTAAAAAAATTCAATCAGATTTCGTTGAAAACATTTCCCTCAGTTTTTCCCCAACATATTTCTCACTAACTTTCACTAACTTCTATTTCCCTCCCAAAACATTTCCTCATTTTTCCCAAATCAATTTTCTCTTCCTTCACTTTTTAGTTTTCCCAAATCAAAATTTTCAACCCTAAATCAACTTTGCAAATATACCTCACTTCCCCATTGAACCCTAAATAAATTTCTCATGCATCGTCACACTCAGTTACACGTCTTCTCTTCTATACCGCTCAACTTATGTGTCTCTTCTCTTCAATACAAGAAATCAACATTATAGTGTCGGCCAAAAAACCTCTCTAATAAGAAAAAAGCCGATGCTACAAGGTGGTAGCGTCGGGGTTGGGGCGAATGCCTCAAAGCTAGAAGTATCAATATTCAACCGACGCTAGGGTAGTGTCGACTTCTAGAAATGCTAGGGAGACGCCAATGCATGGGTGGAGACACATGTTAACGTTGGACATGTGCTACGCTATATTGTTACACGTGTTTATGTAGCGACAACCATTTGCGACACTAGCTTTGTTACATGTGTTTATGTAGCATAGGTTGTAAGTAATGCTATCTTGTTAGACATGTTTATGTAGTGTCATGTTTATGTAGCGTCATTCAGAGACGACAATAGCTTGTTATACGTGTTTATGTAGTGTGGGTCTTTATTGACGCTATTTTGTTACATGTAATTATTTAGTGTCGGTATTCGAGGATGCTAGCTTATTTTTGGAAGAGAAAAAAACAACTCTCCATTTTCTGAAGGCTGGATAGAATCGTAAAACTCTTATGATCAATATTTCCACATGTAAAGTGAATCAATAAACAACAAATATCTGAAAGAAAACTGATATTTGAGACTTACTTGTCAACATCCAAGCTTGCGTACTTAAATATGTCATGACAATCAAGATTTTACCAACAAAAAAAAATGATTTCTTAAATTTTAAAGATTTATACAACATATATAAGAACAAGAGTGAATTTTAAAGAAGATATAAACTTATGAATACTAAAGATATTAATATTAATTCACAACAATACACAAAAGCATACAAGAGTCTAAGTTCATAAGATGCTCTCCCTTTCTTCACCCTATTACAACCAAAACAAAACATAGCTAAAACTGACCTGCAGACATAGACCCAACAAAAGTCTCCAAGAATCTAACAACCACCAAGAAGAAATTTTGTCCAGATGGATTATTTCTAACTAATGACATTGTCCTACGAAATAAGTGTTTGGATTTAAAAGCGAACTTTAATGATACTTACGCTACTCTAGATAAGCATAAGATACTTCAGAAGTTTAAGTACCTATACAAAGAAATTTCCATATGCCATGGTGTAAGAGGGAGGTCAGGTCAAAAGAAATAACATATAAAGGATGTAGCAAAGAAACTTACTGCATCGTTCAAAATAGATTCTCCAAAAACCAAAGCATATAGATTGACGTCAGTGTCTAGTAAGTTACCTTGTGACTAACATATAATTTCAAGCATCATAATGTTTGCATTGAATTGGTCAGCACATTTCATATTATTGCAGTAGAGATACAATTGCATTGGGAGAATAATTACATTAAATAAGCTAAATTACGCTAAACATAAGGAATTACGCTACATTACGCTAACATCTATAATCTATAATAATATATAAAGGAAAAACATGAATTTGGTGTAACCTATTTTATTTTCACATTTACCCTTTAAGATGTCTTTCATTTAGTTACAAATTTTGAAACTATTTAGTTATTTTTTGGTTAAATATGCCTTTCTAAATTTTTTATTTTAATAACTGCACAATAGTTAAAATATTTAACTCTTATTTCTCATTTATATGAGACATGAAGTTACAACTTTCAAAGAGGTTATTAACATTAGAAATGAGAGAAAAAAAAGAAAGAGAGAAAGAAGGGGCTAGATGAAAAGGGTTGACCATATCAATATGGTGTTGACAACTGTAGTAAAGTGGCTTTCAAGCAAAAATTTGAGTAAGTATTTTTTATCGTCTTCATAGGAATTGGTGCTATCAATGTCATTTAATCGTTACTACGTTTTTAAGTTTGTTTGTAAAAGTATATTTAAAGTGAAAGGAAAAATAAATAAACAACGGAAAATTAAATATCTTGGAGATGGGCGAGAACATGTTAGGATTGATTTTCATAATTCGAAAATATGCCTTCTATCAGTCAGTATTACACAATCTATTTATTCCTCAATACCATCCCATATCGCTCACGTCGGCGTTCATGTCCAAACGCCAACGAAGTTTCAACCATATCGTCCGTGCCTAAAGCAATGTGGCAGTATTAAGAATTGATACAAAAGTGAACATTAAGCCTAAATTTATGTCTAGTGTTCAGGACCTAACAAATGCTAAAGCATCGATACTAATTCCTAAACAGATTGTGTCTAACACTGTACCCAATAAACACAAATATACAACATACATATCAAATTGATCTATCACTTGTGAAATTCTCAATCATTTGCTATTATCATGAATCCCTCTTCGACATCGACTATGTCCAACCAAATGACAAGGAATTTACCATAACTAACTCAATTGTGTTCAACCAAGTTTTACGGTAACATTAACGAAAGGATGCAAATGAATATCGAATCTCACATCCATGTCCAGAGTATGGTATTCAATATTCGAAAACATTGGGTCATAAGTTTTGAAAGGGTTTTGTCAAAATATTTGTCAAAACCTAGGTTTTACATAAACACAAATGAAATCAACAAAATCAAATCATCAATCGGTTCACATACAATAAAATCAGAATAAATACATAAGAGTACAAGTTATTACAACAAAAACCAACAAGAAAAAGATCATAACCACTCATGGTCTCTAACCACGATGGGGGGAAGTGAAGAGGGAGAAAAATCAACTGAGGTGTCCCACCGGGTAACTCAAATCCGACTCCAATCTGCAAGAATCCGCTTCTATGTTGCTTGTAGCACTTCTCTCTCTCCAAAATATTTCTCAGCTTCTTCTAGGTTGCCACCATGAACAAAGATTATGGAATCCCCCAAAAAAGTGTAAAAAATCACTTAAATAGAGTTGCTGATGCAGCAGGGTGCGCTTAGCCCACAGAGCCCTCTAAGTGCATCTACTGTGTCGAGAAAAAAACATCTTTTGTTTTCGCCATAACTTGAGATTCGCAACTCCGATTGATGCACGATCGGAAATGTTAGAAAGCTTATTCAATGCTCTATAAGACAATGACTAAATATCATTGCTTGGATACCTACAAAAGAAGTGAAAAAATATTAAAAGATACAATATGTACATGAAAACAATTATACATAATATACACGTATTTACATACAAGTTGAGATTTATTAACGAAAAGCAAATGAATTAAGCAGATGAGTGCTAATTATTCACACTCAAATTCATAAAAATTTAGCACTCATCACATGGAAGTAAGGTTCATTTTCTTAAATTTGTTCTCCCCCTTTCCCTTGATATGTATTAAGTATTCGTTTTCCTTTTTCTCACTTTTGTTTCAAGCAAGTACATGCCATGGAGGAGTCAAACACAAGTATATTATATTCTTTAAGTTTTTCTTATAGATTATTGTGTTTTTTTAATGGGTTAAATATGCTTGTGGTCCCTCTAAATATTATGAATTTTATTTTTAGTTCCTCAAAAAATTTCCTTCAAAGAATGATACTCCTAAAGTTTTTCATCCATACCGTTTATTTGGTCTAACAGAAGCTAACGTGACACGCCATGTTACTTAAAGTTAACACTCTAGAAAAACATGCTAGTTTACAGGGGTTCTAAACCTTCCTAAATTCCAAAATTATCATCCAAGTAAATCGAGCAAGCTGAACAATGTGATGAAACATGTTGATTGTACCAAGGACTGTGCTTCGTCCTCTATTTCTATATGTAGCATCGACGATAACCGGAGCTACCACCACCGATGGGTAAACCTTTCTCAAAATAATTATCTTGTTTATGATCATGGTTTGGTGTTTTGAATGTTGCATACATAGTATTATATTGAAAGATATGCATCTAATTAGACCACAATAGTGTTTACACTTTGCTTGTGCATAAATTTTGATTTTTAATTAGGACCTACTTATTAGAAATCAGAAACTATTTATTTGTTTAAATTTTCAAGCTTGTGTGTGTACACATTTTGACCCAAATATGATACTAATACTTTACGGTGCTACATTTTTTGAAATCAGAACTGTCTGGTGTGCTGTTAATACGAACACCAGACCTCTATATTACAAACACGTAATACAAGGTTTGGTTTTAGAATGTGCCCCTAAAGTAAAAGAATGTGTTTTCTATGCTTGGTATGGTTGGATTAGAGCTGTTGGATTGTGTTTGGGTTTCATAGTTGCTTATGTTGTTCCTGGACAGATTAAGACTGCTTTTGGTGTTGCTTTTGTTGCCGCACTTGTTGGGATTTTTGTTCTTATTTTTTGGAAATTTTGGTGATGATATGTTTATTCTTATCTTGAGTCCCAATTAAACACTAAAAAATTCTTTCATATCTAATCCAACAAGTCATTGTCTCCGGAAATACAGTGGATGCCACGTGTTGTGGAAGTCTAGGGAGCGCCGGAAGTGTCAATGGACTAAACATTTGAGGTCCAAGAGTCTTTGATGCAACATATCCATCCAAAACATTAAGGCAATGGGGATATGGGTCACCTCTCTTATAAATCCAACATTTCCTCCATTCCTAATCGATGTGGGACTTTAGCACTCTCACACTTGAAACCCAACAATCTCTGTCATAAATGTTAGTCACCCACATCACTAGCCTTGAATCAAACTAGGATCCACTTCCTCTCCCCCATCGAGCCAACCAGAGCTCCGATACCACTTGTTGGGGAGTCTGGGGAGCGAGACCCATAAGTGTCAATGGGCTAAACATTCATGGATCCAAGAGACCTTTACACTCCATATCCACCCAAAACCTTAAGGAAATGGAGGTATAGGTCACCTTTCTTATAAACCCAACATTTCCTCCATTCCTAATTGATGTGGGACTTTAACACTTTCTCACTTGAAACTCAACAATCTCAATTAGAATTTCACTGGTAATTAATGCTTATCATACAAATACAATTATGTTTAATTAGAATTTTTTAGCTGTCATGTGTTTTATTTCCCAACAAAATAAAAAAAAATCAAACAAAGCAAGAGTGACACATACAATAAACACATTGGGGACCAAGCCACAACAACAATAACAACAACAATATCACAACAAGTTACACATAGAATAAACACATAGGGGACCAAGATACAACACCAATCCTCAATTCCTCTCACATGTTATGAAGTTATTTAGATATATACATAGATAGATACAAGCACCCCCTAAACAACCTAAATCTCAATGATCCTTCAAGAGTGACACTCAAAAGAAACCAAAGGGTACTCTTTTCTTTCTTACTTACTTGCTTGCATTCCTTGTATTTGTTCTTATGTCTCACTCATTTTATTTTAGTCTTCTCATATGACTTGCACACACACAAAAAGAGAGAGAGAGAGTCCAATTCACTTAAACTATAGTTTATATAAGAATCCATTTTTTATGCATTTTGATCTTGTAAACATTTTACATCTATTCCTAACCTGGGCATTGTACTAGAGTGTATTACTTTCAAAGGAAATTAAAATCAAAACTAAATTAAACCCTACATTCACGTAACTACTAATTAAACCTAAATTCCTAAATCTAACCTCTAATCTATTTCTCATTAAAATTGAACCCTTTTACCATTCTATAATGCTTTAATTAAAATAAGGGGAGAGAGAAGACATTATTTGTACAAGGGTTTTGCAAACAAGTTTTCAAGGATTGAAATAAACTCTAAATATAATAAAGAAGAAATAAAGAAGGATAAACTAACCTTAATCATAAATGCAAATGATAAGTAGAGGGTGACCATTGTGAGCAGTTAATGGAGGTGGAAAATCAAAGGCGGTGAGTAGTAACGATGGTCTTGAAATGTAAGAACCAGAGTACTACACGGTTTTGAGGATAACTGGAACTGAAAGTTTTTAAACCTTTCTTTTTTAACTCCATATAAAATCTATATATTATATATTTATTTTTATAATTATATCATAATATAATTTATATTGTAATTAATATAAGTTAAAAAGTAAATAAAAAATCTCGCAAAAATAATTTGCCCCCATTTTAAAAAAAAAACACTATCTGGTACCAAAATATTGAATAAAACTTAATTAAAAAAACACGCTAAAAGGGAAAAAGTGGGAGGGAAATTTCATCAAACTAAAGGGGGTTTAAAACTTCCGTAAAATAATTCAATATTTTTTTCTTCAAAATAAGGAATATTATTTTTTATTTCAATTTGGAGGGTTTTTGAAACTCTCCTCAAAATAAACGGCGCAAAGGCCAACAAAAATAACCTAGAACAATGTTTTATTATAGGAAAAAATGGGCTTCAAGATTCACTCCAAGAATCTCCTTAATGATTGATCCTTTTAATATTTCTCTTCTTCTTTTCTTTCGCCTCTTTATTTTGTATTTGTTACAAATGTTGTACTTTCCTCCTTTGTTGAGTGAGTATCACGGTTTCTATGTGGAGGTTCTGCTTCTTTTTTGGTGTGATGGTGGTGTGCCACCAGCTATTTGGGTTCTGTAATACGGTGGTAAAACCGACTGTTAATACTAGTTTGTATTTTGTATTCGCAAATATGCGGTAAGCAAGACTCGCTACCGAATTTTCTTTGATCCAAAAAAGGAAAGGGTGAAAAGAATAGAAAAAGACCTTTTTTCGAGAGTTTCTGAGTAAGGGGGTAGATTATGGAAAGGGAAGGTGTTAGCACCCTTTCCATCTGTGGTTTTCCACGGGCTCTTAGGTACTTGCTCATTTTTGAAAATTGCTTTCGTGTTTGTGTGAAAAAGTTTTTGTTTGAAAATGCCTTAGTGCGGCGATTCGCTTTATGATAACCCTTGTATCAGTTCTCAAGAGTGTGATAAAGCATTTTGAAAACTTTGTTTGAAAAGTGTTTGAAAGTGTGGTGTGTAAAAAGAATTGTTTAAGCAAGTACCTAACAGTTATCTACCTACTCGAAAAAAGTTTGTTCTTTTCCTCCTATCCTTTAGAAAGTGCTATCCTACTATTAGTGAGTAGGTAGCCCTAGTCGTTGGATGTTTGAGGAACTATCGAAAGGGACGTACGATCACTAAAGGCAACTGGGCAAAAACTCTTAGTAATTGTCCTAAAGCCCTAATATCACTTTTTTAACTGAGACAACAATCGAGATGGTCATCGAGGGACTAGTGATCTCTTAGACTCAAGGACAACCACTAAGGATTCTCACGTTTCGAGAATTGTAACTGTATTCGAAGGAAACCAAAGTGGGAGATACCCTAGGGGTAAGCATGTGAAAGTGTGCTTGATTCTGTTCATTTATCTTGCGCATTTAGTGATCTACAGATTGATTTATTTATCTTGTCATGTACACCTAAGGTATTAACAGTTATATACAAGCATACAGAATATAAAAGCGAGAAATAAATGGTCATACGCTATTACAGGGCTTTGGTGTAGATACATAAAGAATGGCTGAAAGTAAAAATGCGGAATTGAAAAACCCTAATTAAACTATTACAAACCGGGCGCAGTTACATCAATATAAAATCGTATGGAAAAATAATAACGCGCGAGAATTAAAACTGAAAAAAGTTCAAAAACCCTAAAAATCTAATTTGATTATTGAAAATATTTTTTGGATTTTTTATGAAAAAGATTTGAAATTTAACCTAA